CTTCCTTCCTTCCCTCCCTCTCTTCCTCCATATCCTTTCCTCCCCCTCCACCCCTGTCTCTCTCCTTCCCTCCCTCCCTCCTTTCTCCTCCCTCTCTCCCTTCCTTACCTTGGATGTCGGGCTGGTCGGAGCGTGTGCTGGTGAAGGTGTTGGGGAAGAGGACGTCGGAGCTTAGGGGAACCTGACATTGCGGGGGATCCTGTGGGAGGAGGAGAGCGAGAAGTAGAAGGATCCTGCGGGAGAAGAACGCGGAAGGAACAACAAAAAAGTCCTACAGAATTTCCAGGGGAACGAAAAGCTGAATGATCCTTCGGGAGGAACAACGGCTCTGTTTATTTGTTTGGTTTTGGGTCAATGAGCGATTCCTTTGGTCTTGTCTTCGTGACGAATGCAAATTTTGGAATTTATCGCACGGGAACTTTTATCTTAGGTTTTGGAATATGTCTGCATGCTGAAAGAAATGCTAACTTTTGTATATATTTTCATCTTGAGAATAATAGTTAGTTTAGTTAATGAACTGCCGAGGAGAGACTGAGCAGCGCCGCACGCTAGCATGAATGTAGCGATCGAGATCACTGAAAAATATATGAACAGAGAAGAAAGAAGCGAGCACTAGGCACGCACACTAGATTCGCCGACATTCGTGAATTAGCCATCCCACACAATATATGACACGAGGGAGGGAGATCACGAAGGAGATACAGTTACGAATGCTGGAGAGCACACATTGCAGCCATAGCCAAGAGCAGACACTGGAAGGATCTTACAGCAATCAGACCGGTAAGGTATGCATGCCGTAGTTACAGGAAGCTAGATGATTAGAGCTTATAGGCAGGCATTAGTATAGTAAAGCCAGAAAGGTTTACACATTAAAACGAAAAAATAAAAAAAAAATATAACAAATAGAAAACTTAGGGCTAATTTGACAAAAAAATAAAAAAAAAGAAAAATACATACCAGCACGAGACAGCGGTACGCGCGAGCATATACCACCCTGACCCAGACGAGGCAGTTGAAAGTATATGACTCACGCAGGAACAAGTCTGCGGCAAATTTATTAAAGGAAATAAAAATGTACTACACTCCCTATGTGCAAATCCCTATGATATAGAAAATATAACACACAATACAAAGATGTTACAAGTTACAGAAAGTAGCATTTCATTATGCTACTTCCTACACTGCACAATTGCAAATAAAGATAAAGTGGTGAATCTATATGAATGGTATAAACAGCAGTTCAATGTGTTGACTTGCGATATCAATATATCATGTCTAGAGGGATATTGAGAAGATGGAGGAGGCATAAGGAGCATATTGTGCGGAGCCTCGCATATGCGGATTTCTTTGAGAAGCTATCTAGTAAATGAAGAATAAACCGTTTCGGAGCAAAAGAAGGAAGGAAAAATGAAGATAAAAGCCGTTTGGAAGCACAAAAAGGAAGGGAAAGAAAAAGATGAGATACCGTGGTGGAAATGCAAAAAAGAAGGGAAGAAAAATGAAAGATAAACCGTTTGAAATGCAAAAGAAGGGAAGAAAAATGAAGATTAAACCGTTTGGAACGGGCAAAAAAGAAGGGAAGAAATGAAGGAAAACCGTTTGGAAACAAAGAAGGGAAGAAAAATGAAGATAAACCGTTGAATGCAAAAAAGAAGGGAAGAAAAATGAAGATAAATCGTTTGAAACGCAAAAAGAAAAGGGAAGGAAAAATGAAGATAAACCGTTTGGGAAATGGCAAAAAAGAGGGAAGAAAAATGAAGATAAACCGTTTTGGAAATGCAAAAAAGAAAGGGAAGAAAAAATGAAGATAAACCGTTTGGAATGCAAAAAAGACAGGGAAGAAAAATGAAGATAAACCGTTTTGGACGCAAAAAAAGAAGGGAAAATAAATGAAGATAACCGTTTGGATAATTCTATTATATATAAGAAAGGGAAAGAAAAATGAAGATACCCGTTGGAATGCAAAAAAGAAGGATGAAGAAAAATGAAGACTAAACCGTTGGAATGCAAAAAGAAGCGGAAGAAAAATGAAGATAAATCTGTTTTGGAAGCAAAAAAGAAGGAAGAAATATGAAGATAAACCGTGGAATGCAAAAAAGAAGGGAAGAAAAATGAAGATAAATCGTTTGAAGCAAAGAAGGGAAGAAAAATGAAGATAAACCGTTTGGAACGCAAAAAAGAAGGGAAGAAAAAATGAAGATAAACGTTTGGAATCGCAAAAAGAGGACGAAAAATGAAAGATAACGTTTGGAATGCAAAAAAGAAGGGAGAAAAATGAAGATAAACGTTTGGAACTGCAAAAAAAGAGGGGAAGACAATGAAGAAAACCGTTTGAATGCATAAAAAGAAGGGGAAAGAAAAATGAATGAATAAACCGTTCTGGAACCTGGCAATAAAAGAAAAGGGAAGAAAATGAAGATAAACCGTTTGGAATGCAAAAAAGAAGGGAAGAAAAATGCAAGATAAACGTTTGGAATGCAAAAAAGAAGGGAAGAAAAAT